ACACTACTTTACCCTCTATACTCACACCTTTGTTTTGGAAGAAGAATGGTGAAGAATGGTAAGAATTTGGGGTATTATATAGTGGTAAGGAGAGGAAGAAGACATGGCCGGATGACCTCCTCTTGCACTGTTTGTTCGGCGGTAGTGTGAGGGGCGACGGATTTGATTAATTCCTTACGTAACTCCCTGATGGGGACTAATTTGGTTCCAATTGGGGTACACTTTTTGGTCCAACTTTCTCCGAATTAAAATCTGATTGAACCATTACGGTCAGATAGTTATACTCTATTTAATGATATAATTTTTATATTTATTTGAAATACTTTTTCTGACAGCATATTTTTGGGTGTTGACTTTGACAGAGTCAAAATTGAATTAATTGATATGTAATCAAAATAAGTCTCATATTCAATCAATATTATTAAATGTAAATAGTTATTTCAATAAACCATTTTTCAAAAAGTTCACATCTTTGACTTTTTCTCATTTTTATACAAATTACATATTTAAAATGTCATAATTGAAAATCCGTACATCAGATTTATTCATAAAATATACCGTTAGATTTGTCTCTTTGAGACCTATCCATAAAAGTCAATCTTAACAAAAAAAATCATTGACTCTAAAAATTCCTTTGTTTTTGGTCAAACATAGAAATAATATTTTTGTTGAGTCAAAATATTATTTCTAAAATACCTTTATTATAAAATAATATAACTTTTAGACCATATTATGGGGCGTTACATGAGAGGTCAAAGAGGAAGACTTCACGATTTCAAAGGTGACAGGTCCAAGAGGAAGACTTGACGATTTCAAAAGTGAGAGGTCAAAGAGGAAGACTTCACGATTTCAAAAGTGACAGATCCAAGAGGAAGACTTGACGATTTCAAAAGTGACAGGTCAAAGAGGAAGAATTGATGATTTCAAAAGTGGCAGGTCCGAGAGGAAGGCTTGATAATTTCAAAAGTGACAAGTCTGAGAGGAGGACTTTATGATTACAAAAGTGACAGGTCCAAGAGGAAGGCCTGATAATTTCAAAAGTGACATGTCTGATGATCTCCAAAGTGCCAGGTCTGACGATCTCCAAAGTGCCAGGTCTGACGATCTCCAAAGTGCCAGGTCTGATGAACCCCAAAGCGCCAAGTCTGATGAACTCCAAAGTGATAAGTGTGATGATCCGCAAAGTGCCAGGTCTGAGGAGCCCCAAAGTGCCAGGTTAGAAGAAAGAAATGATACCCAAAACCTCATTTTCGGTCAAGGGAAAGGCTTGATTATTTCAAGAAAGGATAGGTCAAGAGAAAGGCTAGATTATTTCAAAAAAGGACAGGTCATGTGAATGACTTGCTGATTTCAAAGAAGGACAGGTCATGAGAATGACTTGATGATTTCAAAGAAGGACAGGTCATGGTAATGACTTGATGATTTCAAAGAAGGACAGGTCATGGGAAAGATTTGATGATTTAAAAGAAGGTCAGGTCATGGGAATGGCTTGACGATTTCAAACAAGGACAGGTCATGGGAATTGCTTGACGATTTCAAAAAAGGACAGGTCATGGGAATGACTTGGTGATTTCAAAGAAAGACAGGTCATGGGAATGACTTGACGATTTCAAAAGGACAGGTCATGTGAGGGACTTGGTGATTCAAAATGACAGGTCATGAGAGAGACCTGGTGATTCAAAAGGACAGGTCATGAGAGAAGACTTGTTGAATTCAAAGGTGATGGGTTAACATAAGTATACTTCCCGCCCTTGATGACTTCCTCACAAGGCCGGTAAGTGGAGGACTTCTTGATGGGTATATCCCTATACCCGACCCAGACAACCGAAAGGGACAGGTCAAAATATGACCGGTCACTTTTATCTATCACCAAATGAGGTTAACTCTTCGATTGGGACGGGTCAAAAGTTGACCGGTCACTTCCACTAAAAAAGTGACCGGTCACATTTTGGGCGATAGCCAAAATGTCGCCTAATGTTACAAAGGACATTCTAGAAGACCAGAGACGGGTTGAGCACAAACAATGACTGGGTAACCTTTGAGAGAAGGTGACCGGTCATGTCACTTTACTTTGCAAACATTGGTCCAGTATCTCAGGCATGGTGAACCACGTATGAGATCGAGGGACCACCCCACCGTTCGTCCATCACGAGGCAAACAGTGAAAGGAATGTTTGTCATTTTGCAGGGCTGATTGGATTGAGAATATCCATTTATAGTCTTTGATTGAACAGTACATGTCTTGGCTTATAGTTGCTAAATTCATTGATTGAATAGTAGATTGATTATGTACAGTGACCTTCCTCCGGGTTTCCTATTTTGTCCATGGATGAACAGGGG